AAACTAGTACTCAGGATGGATGCAAACTTTTTTTTTCGCGATGTTTGTGCTGTACCGTTTACGTGCAACGTCTCGTTTTGCAGTATTGCCCAGTTTACATGCAATCGACCGTTGCTGCGCAAATGGCCCTCGAAAGTGCAACATAGCCCAGACCGGCCCATGATGACTGGCTGCACATAAACGCTGCGTCAATATTACAAAACTCGCACGTCAATATTACAAACTTGTGGCTGCACGCAAACGGTACGCTATCAATGACAGTGTTGTACCGTTTACGTGCAACTTTCCGTTTTTCACAACTGCACAGTTTACATGCAATCGACCGTTGCTGTGCAAACTCGTGCCGTACACCCCCCCGCCTGTTCCCCCAAACACGCCCCGCACGCACGCCGTACACCCCCCCGCCCGCCTCCCCCAGAACACGCCCCACTCGCTCGCCATACACCCCCCGTCCCGCCCGCCCAGCACACGCCCATCACACGCGCGCACGCACGCACACGGCCGCACACACAGCTGCACGCACAGACACGCAGGCACACACTGGCACACGCACGCACGCACACGCGCACACACATAAAGATACATGCGCATACTTTTTGATCGCGACCGCGAGCGGACACCCGAGCGGCGTCACAAGGTCGAGCGCAAAAGGTAAGAACCGCTACGCCGAGCCGGCTACACGGCGCCGCGGGCGAGGCAGGAGGGGGCGAAACGACGAAGAAAGCGAAGAGCAAGGAGGGGCGGCGACGAGAGACAAGAACGAGAACGAAAGGGCAGAAGCCACGGCTCAGCCGTGGAACAAGTAGTAGATCGTCCGCACCTTGCAGAACTCCCAGTACTTGTCGTAAGTGCGCATCAGATCCCGAGCAAACCTGGGATGCGGTGCCACGGGCGAGGAGACAGCGGGGCCGAGGAATGACCAACGGCGGCAGAAGCGAGTAGTGCAGGTGCGCCCTTGCTGAAGGACGTGCAGTACCCCAGGCCAGCTCCAGGGCCAGGCAGGGGCGGAAGTATATATATACATGAGCATATGCGCACATACACTTTTAAGTCAGCGGCGCCCTCAAACGCGAACAGCAGATGGAGGTGCTAATTGCGATGAGCATCGTCGAAAGCGCAGTGAAAGAAGCGTCAATCACTGACGTGCAAGGATGGGTGGTGGGCAGGAGGGGCTGTAACCCAGCGAACGTGCAAAAGTACATACGCGCAGACTCACACACACACAGGACACGCACTGCAGCGGACCAAAGCAACCACAGGCAACCACTGAGCCCGAGCTAACAGTGGCAACCATATGGGCACCCAGGGAATCCCAGCGACTGCACCCCATGTGCGCAGATTTTTGCCGAGTGCAAGTCTGTGCGTGCGTGCGCACGCAAGCCCAGAGAAGCGGTGATCGTCTCCGTGTGTCCTGATGCCTCATGGCTTCCCGCCACCAGTGGATCTTCAGTGCACCCTCGATTCTCTTGCATCTACGCCCCCCACGGCTTCCCAACGAACCGTGTGCTTATGCCCAACTAGGCCTGAGTCGCGCGCGGAGCGCGCGCGTGGCTCTAGTCTCAAGCCGCTGCGCTGCTCACTTCCAGCTTGGCGTCGCGTCACAACCTCGTGTGTCCAGAAGCCGTCGAGGAGCGCGTACTGACCAGGACCCCAGGCGGACCCGGCCGCGGCGACGAGGGCGTCCCACACTGCGCAGCCAAGGCCCGAAGCCTCATCACCTCGTCCTCCTCGTTCTCGTCGTCGTCCTCCTCCTCGTTCTTCTCGTCGTTTTCGTCGTCGGCATCGGCGTCGCTGTTGCTGGTGCTGTTGCTGTTATTGTTGTTGTTGTTCTTGTTGTTGTTGTTGTTGTTGTTGTTGTTGTTGTTGTTGTTGTTGTTGTTGTTGAACTCTCATTTCTGAAGAATAATTATTGTTGATCTCCCCCGTCTGGTGCTCATTATTTTTTTGATTGAAGTGCCCTTCCCATGGCTCGCACCCGGTTTTTTATCAGGGAAAGTATTGAGGGTCAAACTGTGTTGTTGGCCCCCAGTTTACAACAACAACGGTTCCCGCCGGATACTTCTTCACAATTTCTTGAAGAATCGCGCTCTCGCTTGGGATTGCCTTGCAATTTACCAGATCGCGGTTCCCGCCTGATATTTCCACACTTTATTGAAGAATCGCGCTGTCACTTGGGGCTTCCGCGTTCCTTCCGCCCCACTCTCCCATTATCATGCTTCTTTTCAGGGGTCTTTTCAGGGTTCCACGAAATTTGTTTCTGACACCAGTTTGCAGCTGTGCGCCCCCCCGTGGGGGTATCCACGATATGTTCTTTTCAGGGGGTGGTACGTGGCGCTGTTTATGGCGCGACCCATGGCGAAACTTATTGTTAACCTGTATTGAAGTGGCTGGCGCAGGCCATGGCGCAACCTGAATCGCCACTTGCCCTCCTTGCCCCTCCCTTCCCCTCCTCCGATCCCTTCGTCCTCATTCTCCCCCGTTATCTGTTACCCTTCGTTTTCAAGGGTTTCACCAACCACGCGTGGCAGGGAATGAATCTACTCCCCCCAAAAGGGGGTACGATCGAAGACGAAGAGGGCGGGTATCCAGGGTTTGGGATGTGCATATTGAATGACACGCGAGCAGATAAGAGCGAACAGTATCAAAATGGTTCTTGCTGTTGATGCTGAGCTCCCATATCTGAGGACAAATTCTGGTTGATCCCCCCCGTCCAGTGCATGTTGTTTTTGTCGATTGAAGTGCCCGTCCCGGGGCTCGCACCCTGTTTTTTTTTTTAGGGAAAGTCTTGAGGGTCAAACTGCGTCGTTGGCCCCCGGTTTACAACGACAGCGGCTCCCGCCGGATACTTCTTCACAATTTCTTGAAGAATCGCGCTCTCGCTTGGGACTTCCTTGCAGTTTACCACCGGATCGCGGCTCCCGTTTGATATTTCCCCACAATTTGTTGAAGAATGGCGCTGTCGCTTGGGATTTCCGCGCAACTTGCCGCCGAATCGCGGCTCCCGCTTGATATTTCTTCACAATTTATTCAGATGCCGCTCTTCGACACTCAGGAATCGCGCTCCCGCTACATATTGCTTGGCGGTTCAAGTTGAATTTACGCTTCATCGACCTGCCCGCTCGACCCGCCCGTCTGGGCCTGCCCGCCCGACCAGCCCGTTAGGGACTGTAGTCGCCGCTCGCTGCCCTTCGCCCGCGTTCGATGCCCCTCGCTGCCCGTACTGGTTCCGCGGTCGCCTTCGCTCGCTGCCCTTCGTGTCCCCGTTGCTGCCCTCAGTGGCCCCGTCGCTGCCCATTGTGGTTCCGCATCATATGCCCTTCGTGGCCCCCGCTCGCAGTCGCCCGTCGTCCTTCGTAGCCCCGCTGTCGCTCTTCGTGGCCCTCTCGCTGCCCTTCGTGGCCCCCTCCCTCCCTCCCTCCCTCCCTCCCCTTATCGTCATTGTCGTCGTCGTCGTCGTCGTCGTCGTCGTCGTCGTCCCTGGCCGCCCCCTTTGGGGCCCGCCTGCCGCCTGGAGCCCGGCATTCCGACCCTTCAGCCAGCCGGGCCGGACCGATAATCCGTGCGACTGTTTCGTCGCTTGCCGAGGGCCAGCCTGTCGGCCCTTCAGCCCCCACCCTCCTCCCTCTCCTCCTTCCCTTCCTCCCTCCTTCCCCCTTTCCCTCCCTTCCTCCTCCTCCTCCTCCCTCCTCCTCCTCCCTCCTCCTCTTCCTCCTCCTCCCTCCTTTCGTCGTGGTCGTCGTCGTCGTGGTGAGCCCGCTGTCTGTCCATCTTGGGGTCGGGTTGCCGCGGGTCGGTGTGTGCATCGCCAGCGTTGCCATTGGCCAGGCCGACGGTCCGCCGCTTGCCAGGGCCCGGTTTGCCGGCCTTTGAGACGCGCGCGTTCCACTGCCCAGGTTCTTCTGCAGGCTTCGAATGAAGGCCTCCCTCGACGAGGCCCCCGGGGTGTTCCCACAAGTTTTCGGAGCCTTTGGAATTGTTCGGTGGTCATCGGGGCCATTCCGAGGCCCCATGAGGACATGGGAGGCTTTCGGGTGTCTTCCAATCCCCCCGCGCTGTGTTTCCGCACCAGTCTCCGCTCGCATCTAGTTGCCCCCATTTTTCAACGTTCCTCCCCATTCTTCTCTACTTTTTCCCTTTATCTTCATGTTCATTTCGTTCGTAGTCCATTGTGCTATTCCTCAGTTCTTCGCGTTCCGCCCGCTCCCCCCCAGGCCGCCCCATCCCGCCCCAACAATCTCCACCCCTTCCCGTTCGCATTCCGCAATTCTCCCAAATTATTCCCAGTCCTTCCTCCAGACTCCTCCGCGCGACCCCCGCCCCCCCGCGCTCCTCCCGGTTCCTCGTCTCCATTTTTTGCCGCTCTTCCTCCTGGTACCTTGCTCTTGTCCACTCCGTCGCAATCCACTCCACGTCCCCGCGCTCCTCTCGACGCGGTTGCAGTTCTCGCTATCCTTCCGCCCCACTCCCCCGACATGCCGCTTCCTTTCAGGGTTCCGCGAAATTTGTTTCTGACACCAGTTCGCAGCTGTGCGCCGCCCCGTGGGCGTATCTACGATATGTTCTTTCCAGGGGGTGGTGCGCGGCGCTGTTTATGGCGCGACCCATGGCGAAACTTATTGTTAACCTGTGTTGGGGTGGCGCGAGCGATGCTGCAATTTGAATCGCCACTCGCAGCGCGAATCGGCGTCCTCCCTCTTTCTTGCCCCTCCCTTCCTTTCCTCCGATCCCTTCGTCCTCATTCTTCCCCGTTATCTTTTGCCCTTCGTTTTCAAGTTTTTTTTTTTTTTTTTTTTTTTTTTTTTTTTTTTTTTTTTTCCCCCCCAAGCCGCGCGTGGCAGGGAATGAATGCACCCCCCAGAAGGGGATGCGGTCGAAGACGAAGAGGGCGGGTATCCAGGGTTTGGGATATGCGTATTGAATGACACGCGAGCAGATAAGAGCGAACAGTCCTAAAATGATTGTTGTTGTTGTTGTTGTTGTTGTTGTTGTCGCCCAGCAAGGTGACGGTGGGCGGCTGCTGCGGCCCGACGACCAGGCCAACGCCCTGTACGTGCGCAAGATCGCCGCGCAGTTGCGCCCGTTGCACCGGCAGCTGGTGCGCGGCCGCTCGCGCGCCTTCTCGCTCACTGGGGACCCAGAGGAGGCGGCGCGCCGCGGCAAAACTCCTTTTTCGAGAGTTTGCGGGCCTTCCAGGCACGCCTTCAAGCGCCCCCGAAGCGTCTCCTGCGAGCTTCCAAGGTTTCCAGGCATTATTTCCAGGATTCCTGTCACTGCGCGCGGCGCCTTGCTATCCGGGTTTTGGAGTGCGCAAGTAGGATGGGCCGTCTTCGGCGGCCCTTTCGGCGACCCTTTCGGCGGCCCCCATCGGCGGCCCCATCGGCGGCCCCCGGCGGCGACGAGGAGGGTGGTGCGGACGGCGGTGCGACGGGCGGCGGCGGCGCAGTCCGGCGTTTCGCCGTCGTCGGCAGCATCGTCGTCGCCATCATATCACCGAAAGACGGCAGGAGAGCTCGTCGTCGTCGTCGTCGTCATCGTCGTCGGCGTCGTCGTCGTCGTCGTCGTGGTTGTTGTCCGCGGCAGCGTCGTCGGCAGGGGGCAGCTGGCTGCAGATAGAAACAATAATGTAGCAGGGGCAGGGCGAGTGAGGGCGGAGAGGTGGACGAGGGAGCCGTCTCGGGCCTTGCGCGACCTGTCAAGCCAGTTGACTGGGACACATCTGCTTGTGCCCGCAAGAGGGAAGCAGGAGGGAGGAGCAAGGAGGAGGAGGAGGAGGAGGAGGAGGAGGAGGAGGAGGAGGAGGAGCAGGAACAGGAACAGGAACAGGAACAGGAGCAGTATGGAGGATAATGCAGGAAGCGAGAGGAGAGAGGAGGAGGGCTGTGGAGGGAGAAGCGAGGTTGACGTTCTGTGTGACCTCCAATACAGACATAGCAGCCTGTGGCATCATTGCAGTATTGTCCTCCTCGCTCGTGCCACACCGTGATCCCGCCAAAGTGGTGCCAGCTCAATCCCCTACTCGTTCAGGCTGACCTGTTCTACATACCTGCCTTCTTCTCCATCCTGTTTTGGCTTGGCACCGCGGATGCCTTGAGCTGCGTGGCGAAGACGGTGCGCTCGTTGCAGGCGCACCCCTATTTCACTCGGCGTAGCGGCCGCGACCATTTTGTTATCTACGGCGCCGAGTTTCCCCACTACAGAGGCTCGGGGATTCCAGAAGCGGGATCATGACGCGAGGTTAGCCATCTTGCAGCAGTAACGCAGTTCTTCCACAGCTGGTGCCTTCTCTTGCTCCTCCGTCCCTTCTCCTTTCTTAATCACTTCCTTCCTTCCTGCTGCATCGCCTCCCTCCTCCGTCTCCGTACCCGCCTCCCTCCCTCTTTCCTTCTCCATATCATCGTTCTCGGCATTGGAACACGCGAAGCAGCCGCTTGCGCCCCCGACATCCTTCTCGTCGGCTGGCCGGTCTCCTGGGTGCAGTGCCCGCTATGGGGTGGGGCCCCGTGTGCTCTGACCACTGGGGCAGCCCGAACCGCGTGGATGGTGAGATTCGCCGCCCCCTCTGGACGAGAGGGGAGGAGGGGAGGGGGGGGGGGGGAGGGGGGGATGGGGGGGATGGAGAAAGGGGAGAATGGGGGAGCCTCCATCTCGCCTTCTCGGCGGTTTCGTCTGCCCTGGCGTAGACCACGTGCTCGCTGATCCCGCATCGAGGGTCCCCCGAGAGACGAGCCCCAGTTTGGGCTCGAGCACTACGAGGCGACGGCGTCCAGATGGGTCATACTCACCGTCGCGTGCCCGCGGCCGGGCGCTCGGCACGCCGCGCGCCACGGTCTCGCGTCTCCCTTTCCTCGCGGGCCTCCCATGAGGTGGCGCAGGGTGGGCCCATGACTTTCAGGGACAACGGAAGGGGGGTATCGGCCTAAGGGGGGATGCACCGACCCCCAATCGCCCATTGATCGCCGATAGGCGCCCGATAGCCCCAGCCTGCCCAGGAAGGTGCGGATTCACTGTCGGAGGCCTATCGCCGATCTATTGGCGATGTATCGCCGATTCCAGGTCGATGCATCCCCCCCTAATGCCAGTCCCCCCCTACCGTTGCCCCTCAGACTTAGCGATCGGCGCAGACGCTGGCGCCCCTGTGCTCCCAACTTCATGACAAGGGGCGCCTGGTCATGAACCCATAACGGATTGCAGCCGGTGGATCAAGGATGCAGTGCTTCGCCAGGGTCGCCTTTGCATCACTGTCTGGTCAGCTCTGTGCTTTGGTCTGCCGACGCAATCGTTGCATTGCGACGTCCGCGTATCTTGCGTACTCGCGGTGGGTTCATGCCCTTTCAGCGCGGCGGCGACGTGGGCGCGGGAGTTCAAGGTTGACAGTCCCAGACGTCCTCGGGGACTCACCGACAGTGGAGATCGCTGAACATCGAGCATTTCATGCGGTGACAGAAGCCAAATGCCATGTTGTCACGGCGGGAACCTGCTGTGCCTTGCATCCTTCCTCTCATGTTCGACTGTGGACAGCACCAGGCACGGACGTGCTCCCGTTAAATCGGGCCTGTTCCTCCGCAGGAGGAATAGTCAAAAATAGTAAAATATTAGTCTGTGGACGGATTGTTCTATCACCTTTCGATTATTTTTCGAATATTTGTTTTACTTTTTTGGGGATTTTTCCTTCAAAATCCCCCTGTAGGGGGACATGCCCGACCTAATGCTCCCGACGTCAAGCCGGGCCCGCGGCCGACCTGGAGGTCGCCAGCGTCCGGCGGGGCCGCCCGATCCTTGGAAAACGGGAGCTGCATGGCCGTCTAGATCAGGGCAGTCGGGGAAACTCCTTCTCGTCCTCCTCAACCTCCTCATCGTCCTCCTCCTCCGCCTCTCTCGTCCTCAACCTCCTCGTCGTCTCCTCCTCCTCCTCGCCTTCCTCGTTGTCCTCCTTGTCGTCCTCCTCAACCCCCTCGTCCTCCTCCTCCTCCGCTTCCCCTGCTGCACCGAGGCCGTGCGGCGCGCAGCTAGACGCGTGGTCTGCCCGGGGGCGCTTCGTGGTGGTGCCCCACGCGTCCCGGCTGCGCTGCCGCCCGGGCGGCGGCGCCGGCGGACGGCAGCGCCGCTTCCTGCTCGGTTTCGTCGGCTCCCGCGGCGCCGCCGGGCGCTATCCCGAGCGCGAGGCGTTCTTCGGGGCCACCTGCGCCGGGCCGCGCTGGCTGCGGACCGAGGACGGCCTGTGGCACAGGTCCCGCCCGTGGACCGCGCGGCACTGGGTCCTCGACGGCAACAGCTCGGCGGCAAGCGAGGGGGGGGGAAGTGAGAATCGGGGGCGGCAAAGAGGGGGTGATGACTGGGGGGGGGTGGATATCATGTCGGGGGCCATGATATTTCCCCAGATTTTCATGGCGCCTCTTCTTATTTCATTAATTACGTCTCTGGCCCCCCCGCTGGGCCGCGCACATGCCGCTGGTCATGATTTGCACCCCTCCCCTCTTGGACACCCTCCTCTTGGCCGCTCCCGAGAGAAGGGGCGGGCCTTCTCAGAAGGCTCGGAAGTCCCCTGGCCTTCTGAGAAGTTTCCTGAGCCTTCCCCGAAAGCACAGCAGCTTTTGCAGAAGACGCGCGAGGGCTTCTCGCAAGTCTGGCCGCCCTCTGCGAAGGCCCCCCGCCTTCTCTTTTCCCCCCCCTCGCTCGCCGCCGAACAGCACCCTCGTGGACGCCTTCCTGCTTTCGGCGGAGGCCTTCGCCGAGCTGTGCCCGCCGCCGGCGCGGCGGCGCGGCGCGGGCGGGCGGCCCGCGGTCAACTTCTGGTGGGTGGAGGCCGAGTGGCGCTGGAGGCTTACGTCGGGCCCGTCCTTCTGCAGGAGGAATAAATAGTTCAAACATCGTAGGCGGACTATTTTTTGAGTATTTTTAAATCATTTTGGAGTACTTTTTGAGAATTTTTGGTTTTTCGTCGAAAACCCTTCTGGGGACACGCCCGACTTAACTGGAGGCTGCTTCCAGAGGCGGACGGCCCTGGGGGCGTGGATGCGGACTTCTTCGAAGAATGAACAGCGGCATGAATCGGGCCGGACGGAAGGGGGGGATAGGGAAAGGGGGGGTCACGAAATTTGCTGCGTGCAGCTGGTTTCGGCCCCCGCCTCCCGGCGCCGGGAGGCGACAGGAAAATCAGCTACGTGAGCTGGTTCTCACCTCCCCCCCTTTGCTATCTCCCCCTTTCGCCTGGCCCGAATGAACAACAGCTTTCGGCGGTCCGCTCCGAATTTCTCGGATCGGCGCTGGGCCCCGCTGGCGGCGCCGTCGCCGCCGCCCCAGCGCGCTCCGCGCGCCAGGGAAGGGGCTTCATCGCCGATCCCAGAAATCCGTGTGCATCTCCGAAAACGTTGTGTTGAATGCAGCTTTTTCTTCTTCTACCTCTGGCGTAGGTTCCCCGCGCCGTACTACGGCTTCTCGGAAGGAGAGCTTGGCGATAAGGTCATGGCACTGCGTGACAGCGAGGACCAGAGGACCCACCTCGTGCCGGGCGGCTTCCGTGCAGAGCGACGCTTGCAGCCGCAGTTCAACTCCTTGCTGCTGGACTTCGTGAGCGAAAAACCTATCTGTATCCGCGGCCTCGCGGGCCGGGCCCCTGGGCCGCGGCCCCCCAGGTACAGGACGTTTTCTCGCGGATGCCCTTCGCGTGACGTATCCGTGCGGCCGCGTATTCGTGGGATCCCGCCCCAGAAGCCAGACCGCAAGTGCTCGGATACGGGTACGTTTGCCGCCCGTGAGGACTCGGTCTACGAGCACTCGGAGGTGTGCCTGGTGGTGCCAGGCGATACCTCGGACTGTGCCAAGCGGCTGTGGGACGCCATGCTGCGCGGCTGCCTGCCAGCCTTCGTATCAGAGGGTCCTCCTCCTTCTCCTCCTCCTCCTCATTCTCCTCCTCCTCCTTTCCCTCTCCCTCCTCGAAACAGAGCGGCCTGAGGTCAACCAGGTCACTGGCCGGTGCTGCCGTTCGCAGACAGGGTGGACTGGGCGTCGTTTGGCCTCTTCTTCCACGAAGTGAACTCGACGAGCGCGGCGCAGCGTGTTCTCGGGGAGCTGCTCCAGGTCTTGGGGTCAATCGGGCAACACCCGCTCGTCTTGTTTTCCCGCTTATTTTTGAGAGAGAGGCCACAGAGAGGGTCCAAGAACCCCCCCAAAGAGGCCAACCAAACACTGCATTTTGTTTTCTGGGCTTGGCCACCTTTTCGATCGAGGTCGGCCTCGGAGGTTTCCGGAGGGCCCCAAGAGGGTCCCAAGAGGGCCCCAAGAGGGCCCCAAGAGGGCCCCGAGATGCCCCAAGAGGGCCCCAAAAGTCTCAGAGTATTTGACAAGAGGCCCCAACTGGCTGGCCTATAAGACCCAATGAGGCCGCGACCGGGTTCCGACGTCCTCAGCAGCAGATCAGTCCACGGATCTACGTTTGCAGTAGTGCATCCCTCGGTGCCCAGAATAGGCTTTCTGTTTTGCGTCAGGGGCCTCCATTGTCCATGAGTGGTACAGGTTGGCAGAGTTGAATATACATGCCTTAGCCGAAGCGCGTGAAGACACGTTTGTGGACAGCGGTAAGCACCGGCATCCACCACGAATGCTATCTGCGCCGCCATTGCCGCTCCCATCCCCGCCCATCACCTTATCCCACCAAACCCAGCCCCACCACCCTGCCCCTCCACCCCTCTGCACCCCACCCGCCCCGAACTCCGTGTCCCCCCGCCCCCCCCGCCTCCAGCTCACCGCCCCCCCCCCGCCCTCAACGCAGCCCTCGCCACATTCCGCACTCAGCCTACACGCCGCACCCCGTCAACCCACCCTGAGCATTCGTCATCCAGCGCCCGAACTCCACGCACCAGCAACCAATCACTTCGCATTTGCAACATCCACCGCTGCCGCCACCACAACTGGCGCTGTCACAACATTCGCCACTGCTGTCACCCTATCACGTGTATTCTCCTGGGGGGCCAATGTTTGTTTTCATAGCCTAACACGCCTGTTTCGGTCGACCGGGCTGTAATTACTAGCAGCACTTCCAGCAGTGTTGGAAAAGGGCCGCACAATGACATGAGGAAGTGCATTTCATTGTCAGAGAGATGAGGTGCAGCGCTTAGGTGGCCTATCGAGAGGTTCTGCGGATCCTCGTTGGCGGCACCTTTGGGGACCCTTGATGATTGTGATCCGAGTCTGGGAGCCTGGGGGACCCGTGGCCCTTGATTCGTGGGAGTCCGAGGGTATGTGCTCTGGGGGATCGGAGATTCGGCGCGGGAGGGAAGCCCAGCCAGAGCCCCCCCACTGATCCTGTCCATGGCAAGTGCATCTGGTAAACGGTGATGCTTGGGGTGAAGTCGGGCCCGTCCCTCTACGGGGGGAATATTCGAAAATATAAAAAACTAGTTGGCGGACGATTTTGTTGAGCAGTTTTTTTTTTTTTTTTTTTTTTGCCATTTTAGAGTATTTTTGGTGTATTTTTCATGTTTCGCCCGAAATCCCCCTGCAGGGGGACATTCCCGACTTTTGGGGCAGAGGTGACGGGCCGAGCCAGGCGCTCCCCCCCTATCCCCCCGGGCCTGAAGCAAGGCACCGCCCCCACGGCAGCGCGATCCTTTCCACTCCTCTTGTCGCCCCGTTGTGCTCGCGGGACCTTTGGACGAGGTGCGCTCCGAGCTCAGGACTCCTCTCGAGAGTCCACACCCCGCGCCGGCGACGAGCGTGAGCCCGGGAGGGAACGGATCTCGCCAGCACCCTAGATGTTCACATAGTGGGTTTTCCACCTCTTCGAAGCTCGCGCTGGCTGCGGCCGGCAACTGTGGGGTGTGCAGGCCTCCCGGCTGGAGCTGACGTGGCGGGCACGCCTCTCGTGCCCGAAGAGCTGCGGCGGCGTCTCTTTCAAACCCTCCCAGGTCCCAGAGGACGAGTTCGACCGCCGCCGCGATGCCATGTGCGAGCCCCAGAGCGCCGCGGGCCCTGCGTATGCGTCCTCTTGTGCCTGTTTGCGCCAACGCGTGTGCACATGACCCCAGAGAGCGGTGATCCCCACCCTGGCCGGGACGTGAGGCTCGATTTTTCCCACGTGGGGTGTCGGCCCCTCGAGATTCCTGTGCGCGGGGGGGTCCACCATCTTCCCAGAAATCGCCGCATATTGACAGCGGCCCCAGAAGGCGTGCCCGACGGCTCTGGAGGCCCAGCGACCGCACAAGAACTGCTCAGCATTGTCTCTCACAACCCCAGGAAGGCGCAAGATGGCCGCAGGGCGGCCCAATTCCCAAGGCGGCTCCAAGACTGCCGCTCTAGACTCCCAGAAGACCCCCCCAAGGCGGTCCCAGGACCCAAGACGTCCCCAAACTGGCCCAAGACGGGCCGAGACGGGCCAAGACTGGCCCAATAATGCCCCCGCAGGAAGCAGCAATACTCAGTCGAGGAGGAGGAGGAGGAGGAGGAGGAGGAGGAGGAGGAGGAGGAGGAGGAGGAGACAGAGAGAACGTGGGGAGGGGAAGGGAGAGAGTGGAGAGGATGAGCAGGATGATGATGATGATGATGAATATCAGTAGGATGAGCAGGATGAGGAACGGCAAGAGTGCATGGGGGGCAACGGCGTGCGAAGCGCCCGATAGCCGTCGACTAGAACCCGAACGCGGTAAACGCCTGTGTGGTTCGAACGTGTGTGTGTATATATATATATATATACACATATGGGAGTTCCCTGGCCCCGGGCCCCGGGCCGGAACCCCCTTTGTACATAGGTAGTGGCCTCCTCCCAGGACGCCCCTCCAGCGGCCCCCGCGCGTTCCAGTCCGCCCAAGAAGGCTCCAACAGCGCCGAGAGAACCCCAGGATCGCTTCCAGACCGCCAAAGATCGCTTCCAGAAGGGCCAAGAGGCCGTCAAGCCGCCCCAAGAGGCCGCCAAGAGGCCCCCCAAGAGGGCCCCCGGAGACCAAAATGACCCCATTCAATTCGTAAAACGTACATTTTTAGGATATCAGCTCACTTGGACATCGGAGCGGTCACAGAGCCCCAAGAGGCGCCCAAGGACGCCCCAGGACGGCTGAGACAGCCCCAAGACGGCCCATGAGGGCCTCCAGGGACGCTCCTCCGGCGGCCCCCCGGCCTCCCAGTCCGCCCAAGATGGCCCAAGAGACTTTCCTCCGTAGCCATTTTGGCTCAAGGCCTGGCTCAAGACTTAGCCAGGCCGAGCGTTTTCCAGAGCCTCTCGAATCCGCGAGTACAGAATCTCTATTGTTTTACGCATGGCTTTCAAGAAGGCGTCCTTCAGCGTCTTCGTGGGCCCCCTCCTGGTGATCCTCGGCGTGCCGCACGCAGCCGCTCTTGTGCTATCCACGGCCACTTTCGAGCCGTGGTGGCAGTCGGAGCTGAATGGCTTGCTGCGGGCCGCATGGGGCGTGGGGGCTGGTGACCGAATTGCCGAGCCCGGCCCGGGCAACGGGGTGCAGCTCGCCACCGTCGACGACGCCACGGATCCGTGGGTCGTCTCCGCGGGCCGCGACGAATGCTCTGGCTGCGACTTCACGGTCGACTTGCGGTGCGAGGGCATGCGGGCTGGTCGCTACGCGGCTTGCCACCGCATCACAGATTGCCTGCTGACCATTTACGGTATGATCCAGCTTGCCCGCATGGCCGCGAGCAGTCGGCCCGACGCCCAGATCTGCGCGCTCACGTGGACGGAGCCGCACGGCATGGACCTGCGCAGCTTCCTGGGGGACGTGGTCGGTCTCAAGTGGCACTCCCTCGTCGACGAGAAGGACAGCTGTGCGAGCGGGCTGCGGTACCATGCCGGCTACCGGACTCGCCTCATGGGCGCGCAGCAGCCCTAGCTGGATCAGTTCGGACTGGACCAGAACATGGTCCGCTCCTATTCCATCGACCTCAACGTGAACTTGAACTGGATGCAGCGCGACTTCTCCGCATTTGTTGAAAAGGACGGTGATTTTTCGCCACAGTTCGTCATCATCCATCGCAGGCAACCTCCCGGGGATCCATCGAGCACGCGTTTATTTCACGACGCCGATTTGGAGAAGTTGAAGGGCTCGATGAGTGGTACGAAATTGGGCGAGGCAGATCTGCCACTGACAGTGTACTGCGGAAACGAAAGCGTCGCAGATACTGTGAGAATTTTCACCCGGGCCGCGGAGATCATCGGCTACCACGGTGCAGCGATGGCCAGCACGTTGTTTTCGGCCCGAAGGCATTGCGTGCACCGCATTACAACGTTCAGAGATTTGCAAAGTCAGGTGCACTGGCGCATCAACGAAGACGTGGCCAGGATGAACAATCTGGGCAGTTTCAACGTCTACGACATCCCAGTGATCGATCTCCTCAACGATAACAGCGTGAACGTTGAGGATTACGAGAAAGCAGAAGACCAATCTCATTTCATCAAGGACCTACGTTGGGTACCGCTCTCAGATTACCGCATTTCACATTTACGAGTTGCTGTGCGTCATTGCCTGAAGAACTGGGTGGAGGGCCACTGGTAGACTGCCAGCCGACATAGTTGTCTCACGCGCGAAGACTTTTCATCCTTGTCTTCCGCATGGTTTGGGCAGTCGATTCTCGGACATGCATTTGTGGGTGCATTCGCAGGCTTGGCCGCGGCACAAGCGCGAGTGCCCGAGGCCGAGCGCCATCGACTGTTGCTGCACGAGCGTCGCGCACGATTGGTGCGGATGAGGATCCTCAGGGCATCGTTGGATTGTTTGGCGCTTGGCCATGGAGAACAAAAAAGTGGCCCAAGAGACTTCCCAGTCGCACCAAGAGACTTCCCAGTCGCCCCAAGAGACGTCCCAGCGCTCCGATACGGCGCAAGATGACTTCCTGAAGGGCCACGAGGCCCTCAGGACGCCCCAAGAAGGCTCCAAGCGGCCCTCAAAGAGAGCCCCAGGAGACAAAACTGGCCCCATTCCTTTCGTACAACTTATAGTTTTAGAAGAGCCCCCAGAAGGCGCGAAGAGGCGCCCAAGAACGCCCCAAGACGGTCTAGGACAGCCCCATACACACATCATATAGATAGATAGGTCCCCCCCGGCCTGGGTCAGCCCACCCCGCAACCATCGGGGGAAGCCCGCTGATACCCCCCCGTTTCGCTCCCAGAGGCGGGTCGGAGAGGGTAAGAGGGTGCCAAACGAGCCAAGAGGGTTCCAAGAGGCCCCCAAGACGGCCGTCAAGAAGGGCCCGAGCTGCCCAATACGGCCCAGGAGTACTCCCAGAGCACTCCCCAGAGGGGCCCAGGAGACCCAAATCATTGAATTCCTGTGGGGGAACGTACATTTTTAGCATGTGCGACTTTTCAGCGTTCGCGGCTTTCACCACGGTCCAAGAGGCTTTAAACATGTCCTCACGACAGCCCAAGACGTTCCCAAGAGGCCCCCGAGCCAGCCCAAGAGGGCGCCACGACGGCCCAAGGGCTGCCTGAGACGAACAAGTTGGCCCCAAGACGGCGCCCAAGACGGCCCCAAGAAGCCACACTCGTTGAATTTATACTGGGAATGTACATGTTTTTCATATGCGACTTGTCGGCCTTCACGGCTTTGAAGACGGCCCAAGAGGTTCCCCAGATTTGCCCAAGAGAGCCTAAGACATTCCCAAGAGGCCCTCAAGGCAGCCCACGAGAGGGCCAAGACGGCCCAAGGGCTGCCAAAGACTGCCCAAGTTAGCCCCAAAACGAGCCCCAAGAAGGCCCAAGAAGGCCCCGAGTCGCTCAAGACTGCCTAAGATGGCCCCAAGAAGGTCCAAGAAGGCTCCGAGACGTCCCAACAGGCCTCCAAGAGCACTCCCAAGAGGATCCTTAGAGACCAAATTCGTTACATTCCTGTAGGCGAAACGTACATTTTAAGCATGTGCGATTTTTGGGCTTCCACGGCTTTGAAGACGGTCCAAGAGGCCCCCAAGACTTCCCCAAGCGAACCGAAGACGCTCCCAAGAGGCCCCAAAGATAGCCAAAAGGGCGCCAAGACGGCCCAAGGGCCGACTCAGACGGCTCCAGGAGGGATCCAAGAGGGGAATTCCGACTCGAAAGTAGCAGCCGTCCGCCCAAAGAACCTCCCAGGAAGCCCCAAGAGTCCCCAAGAGGACCCACGAGGTCCCCAAGAGACCCCCAAGAGGCCCAAACGAGGCCCCAAGATGGTTCAAAACGGATAGGACGGCCTCCAAGAGGTCTCCCAAAGGGGTCCGGAAAGGTCTTCTTGCGGATCCGAACATACACAGCTATACGACGACGACGCTTTCTTGGCCCATTCTTAGGTCGCTGCGGAATGGCCTCAGGGGGTCTTGAAAGTCACTTGAGCCGTTGGCGTAGTTCTTGGGTTCCCTGGAGGGATTGGCCACAAAAGAGAGGTCTTCAAAGTTCGACCGTGAAGCCTAGCTAGAACCTAAGCGCGCGCGAAGCGCGCGTTGTTCTCTTGTATTGAGTGTGCGTTTAGAGCTGTGCTCACGCACTCACATGGCGTGCACGCAGGATCACGACGCGTGCGGGCACGCATTCTTGCTCGCGCACACGTGGGGTGTGCACGCGCAGGCGAAGGCACAGCGTGTGCCTCCTCGCCGGACGCCGGCCGACGCAGAGAGACGCGAGCACTGCGCCCCGACGGGTGTGCGTCAGGGGCGACCCAACCGACCCCCTGGTAAACTATCCCCTTCGGTGACGTCCCCCACTTCTCGCCCCAAGACGAATGTATGCGGCCAGAGGGGAGCTCGAAAGGCGAGGATGACGTCACGGAAGGGGATGGTTTGTTGTTGATGATAATGATGATGAACATGATGAAGATGATGAAGATGATGATGATGATGAAGATGATGATGAAGATGATGATGAAGATGATGATGATGCTGCTTTGATGATGATGATGATGATGACGATGATGCTGGCGATGATGATGATGATGATGATGATGATGATGATGATGATGATGATGGTGGTGGTGGTGGTGGTGATGATCATGATGATGATGCTGATGATGATGATGATGATGATGATGCTGCTGCTGCTGATGATGATGATGATGATGATGATGATGATGATGATGATGATGATGATGATGGGGTCGGTTAGGCCGCGCCCAAGTGCGCGGCGCACGGGCGCGGCGCAGCGTGGGGCGTGCAGCCCTCGGAGCTCCCGCGAGGATCTCCGAGCGCTCCCCGCCGCTGCGGTGCGGCCCCCGCGGCCTCCTGAGGAGCCCGCGCTCGTGCTCGGTGCCCCGCCGCGCGAGGCCTCTCCCGACGACGACGACGACGACGACGACGACGACGACGACGACGACGACGACGACGACGACGACGACGACGACGACGACGACGACGACGACGACGACGACGACGACGACGACGACGACGACGACGACGACGACGACGACGACGACGACGACGACGACGACGACGACGACGACGACGACGACGACGACGACGACGACGACGACGACGACGACGACGACGACGACGACGACGACGACGACGACGACGACGACGACGACGACGACGACGACCGCGC